GGCTGGTGGCCAGATGGGCTGGGAGTTCTCCAGAAAAGGAGGCTCCCCCAGCTCTCTGGGCAGCCTGTCCCGGGGCTGAGTCACAGGGTGGGGGTTGGCAGGGACCTCTGGAGACCCTCCAGCCCAACCTCCCGTAGAGCAAGGTCACCTCCAGCAGGTCCCACAGGACCATGTCCCAGCCCTCCCCCAGGGATGCCCTACCCACCCCAACCCATCAGGTGTTCAGACACCAGAAGACCCCTCAAAATGCCCATTATTTTTTTTTTTTGGGGGGGGGGTGTTATTTTCCAGGCTCAGGCTCCACCAGCACCTCCAGGCTCCGTTTGGTCAACGGGTTGAGCGCCTGCAGCGGGAGGGTGGAGGTCTTCTACAACAACCAGTGGGGGACAGTCTGTGATGACAACTGGGACCTGAAGGATGCAGCCGTGGTCTGCAGGCAGCTGGGCTGTGGGGGGGCCCTCCTGGCCCCCGGCTCTGCCCACTTTGGATGGGGAACAGGTCGCATCTGGTTGGACGACGTGAGCTGCACGGGGCAGGAGACTGACTTCTCCCACTGCCCCACCAAGATGCTGGGGGTCCACAACTGCCACCACGGGGAGGACGCTGGGGTGGTGTGTGCAGGTGAGAACATCCCACCCAGGTGGTCATCTCTGGGATGGAGACGTTGTGGACAGGGCTGGGGGAGGAGCTCTCTTGCAGCCCTCACCCCAGGGGTAACTCCAGGACCTTCAGCTCAGGGTCAAGGGGAAGGTCCTGCATCTGGGCAACATCCCAGGGTCAGTACAGGGGAACCTTAGAGCAGCTTCCAGTGCCTGAAGGGGCTCCAGGAAAGCTGGGGAGGGACTTGGGACAAGGTCATGGAGTGATGGGACAAGGGGTGATGGGTCCAAACTGACAAAAGGGACATTTAGGTTGGACATTGGGAGGAAATTCTTCACCCTCAGGCTGGGGAGAGCCTGGCCCAGGCTGCCCAGGGAAGCTGTGGCTGCCCCATCCCTGGGGATGTTGAAGGGCAGGTTGGATGGGGCTTGGAGCAGCCTGGGCTGGTGGGAGGTGTCCCTGCCCATGCAGGGGGGTGGATCTAGATGGTCTTTCATAGGATCCCAGAATGGTTTGGGTTGGAAGGGACCTTAAAGATCATCCAGATCCAACCTCCAAGCCCCATTCAACCTGCCCTTGGACACTTCCAGGGATGAGGCAGCCCCAGCCTCCCTGGGCAAACCATTCACGTGTCTCACCACCTTCATGGTGAAGAATTTCCTCCTAATTCCTGATCCTTTTCCACCTTGAAGACATCACCCCTTGTCCCATCACTCCATGTCCTTGCCAAAAGTCCCTTTAAATGTCCCTTCCCACCCAAACCCTGCAGTTTGGTGTTACCTCCAAGGATTTTGTCCCCCCAAATCACACCAGTCCCTTTCCTCCTCTAAGCCACCTGTCCCCTCAATGTTGTCCCAACCCTGGAAGCACCCTGGATGCTCCAGGTGGGCTCCAGAGGTTCAGGGAGGTCAGGGTTGCCCTGCAACAACCCCCACCTCCTTCTCCACCTCTCCAGAACCAGGTAACTCCAGCTCAGCCGACTTGAGGTTGGTGAACGGTCCCCACCGCTGTGCTGGGAGGGTTGAGGTTCTCCACGACCACCAGTGGGGGACAGTTTGTGACGATGGATGGACCCTGAACCACGCCAGGGTGGTCTGCAGGCAGCTGGGCTGTGGCAGGGCCGAGGCAGCTCCTGGGAGGGCTCACTTTGGCCAGGGGACAGGACGCATCTGGTTGGACGACGTGGCCTGTGCTGGGAGTGAGGACACCCTCTCCCAGTGCCCAGCCCGTCCCTGGGGACAGGGGAACTGCAACCACGGAGAAGATGCCGGTGTCATCTGCTCAGGTACGTCCTGGTCCTGCAAGATGGGGTGTCCACCTTGGTTCTTCTTGCCTCTGGGGTGATGCTGCAGTTGGATGGTCAAGCTCTTCCCTGGGGTGGGGTCACCAGCCCTGGAAGGGGCTCAGGAAACATGTGGTACCTCAAGGAAGGGTCTGGTGGGTGTGAGGGGTTTTTTAGGGGGGTTGTGGGGGTCTTTTTTGGGGGTTCCTTGGTGTTGGTTTTGTGGGGTGTGTGGTGGGATGGTTGTGTTGTTGTTGTCCTCCTTTCCCCTGGGTGGATGGTTGGACTCAATGATCTCTTGCTTGGTGTTGGTTTTGGGTGGGATGGTTGTGTTGTTGTTGTCCTCCTTTCCCCTGGGTGGATGGTTGGACTCAATGATCTCTTGCTTGGTGTTGGTTTTGTGGGGTGTGTGGTGGGATGGTTGTGTTGTTGTTGTCTTCTTCCTTCCCTTGGGTGGATGGTTGGACTCAATGATCTCTTGCTTAGTATTGGTTTTGGGTGGGATGATTGTGTTGTTGTCGTCCTCCTTTCTCCTGGGTGGATGGTTGGACTCGATGATCTCCGAGGTCTTTCCAACCATGAAGATGATTCCACAGGGAGGTTCTTCCACCCCAGCCACGGGCACCTCATGTGTGTGTGTGTGTGTGTGTGTGTCTCCCCCAAGCCCCTCATCACATTTCTGAGGTGCTTCCAGAGCCTGGTGGGACCAACACGTCGACCCTGCGGCTGGTGGAGGGTCCCCAGGGCTGAGC